GTTCAATCAAGCTGGTCGCACCGAGGGTGTCCGCAAGTAACCAGAGGACTCCAGCCGTTGCTGACAGTCTGCCCGGGGCTCCCAGAGACGTTGGAGACCATACTCTCCGCCCCGATGACCCTCTTCTGAATGCGTTGTTGGATTTGCTCGAAACCTTCTTCATCAACCCGGTGGAAACGAACCTATCCGTGACGGAGACCCTGGTGGACCTAGCTATTTGTGGTTATATGAAAATCGAAGGATGGTTGTCTCGAAATCCCAACTCTTACACATACGACGGGGACGAAACTGAAACAACTGAGGACCTCACAGAGGACGGAACTACTGAAGCCGACGATACCGAACTGGACATGCCTCCATCACCAGAGGAGGAGCAAATCAAAGCGATGGAGAGGTGTCGACAGCGACCACAGTGGACCCAGACGTCTGTGCCTCGCGTGCTCAATGTTCTTAAGCATCTGGAGGAGCAAGTCGCATTGTACAGGAAGACGATCCCGCGATTCGACGACTTGGTGCAGCAACGGCGCGAGGCTTTCCAGACCGCTGACGCGATGTTGACCAGCGTGGTTCCTACGCAAAAGGCGACTCCTGCCCAACAGGAAACACCGGATCGCAGAAGCCTCGACGAGGTGTCACGGAGTGGATCCCCTTCAAGACCGTCCGCGTTGGAAGGGCTGGCTCATCGCCTCCTGTCGGAACTTGGAACTCCAAGTCGTTCAGGAACCCCTCGAGGACGCAAGGAGCAGAACCGAAGTTCCGGCAGTGGAAACGCGACCCTGGGTTCCAAGCCAGGCCTAGCTCCGCCAAAGGAGATCTACAACGAGCGAGGAGTCAGCACCGGCCGAAGCCAATCTCGGGGCCGAGTTCGAGAGGAGACAGGGTCTCACGGGGCCAGGGATCAAGGCGTCGCCAGCCAAATGGCGGCGTTTGCGGCGATTGATCAAACCATTCTATCTAAGCGAGTTGGGCTTCCCGCCGCCAAGGTTGATCCCATCCCTCTTAAGTTCGACAAGAAGCCTATGCCGGAGCCTGCCGACGCCGACGCCGACGAAGAGAACGAGACCGAGCCAGTCTCTCCGGTGGCGGAAGAGGTGACACCCGAAAACAACGAGACCAAGGAAGACAGTGAAGAGACAAAGGAAGAGCGCAAGAAGGACGACAAGGAACCAGGGACAGTCTCCGTCTCGCACATTGTCACAAACGTCATGATCCTGCAGTCCTTCATGTTTGAACTGGCGAGTCTGGTCCAAGTCCGAGCAGGTCTGTTTGATGAGGTCAGGTTTGTGTAAAGTTGTTACGAGAAGTGACAGTGAACGAGCAAAGAGAACGCATAGGAGCTAGCACGGCTCGGGCGGAAACAATGTCACGATTGATGAGCGCTTTTGTAGTATAGGGGTTTCATGTGCTGCTCCTTGGTGTCCCCCATTTGATATCACCATGAGAGATTGTATATCCAAGGCCTAGGTCCAGGCCATTCGGCCTAACTAGCAACTTTTTCGACCTTGTATATCCCAGTTTTCGCTCCTCCGGTAGCCCGCCAAGCCTTCAGGTCCCAGTTGAAAATGCCGAGCCTGCGTCAAGTTCCTCCCCCCGCGTCAGCTCGCAGTGTTGCAAAATCACACAGTACATCCACCAATCTTCCACACGAGCTCACAATTTTCCTTTTTTTCTTTTTCTTCCAGCTTCATTCGTGTTGTGTCTTCCGACTTCGACTCCTCTTCCCAGCCTTTTTCTTCCCAGCTTCCTCTTCCTCCCCCGTCTCCGTCTTCCTCTTTCTGCTCCGAAGATTTCGTGCAGGAGGTCCTGTTTGCTGTTCGACCTCATCTCCGACGTTGGCTGTCTCTAGCATGCGCGGCGAAGTCCCGACGACCTCATCTTCACCAGACCCATCACTTGATGACTCCTGCGCAGCCAATTGCGCAGCCACTTGTGCCTTGAGAATCCCAGTCTCTCTCTGCAACTCCGTTGTTTCGGCTTTGATAGTATCCATTTTCCTGGCTGTCTTCCTCATGACGACGCAGAAGTCGTCGAAATAGTCATCCCGATGTTTTTTGAAGTTCGAAATGTGTTCTTCAATATCAGCATCGCATTTGGGCGTGCTGATCTGGTAATCCTCCCACTTTTCATCGTAACGCCGGTCCAATATTGCAATTTTCAGGGTCAGCTCGGCCCTGCAGGTTGGTGTGCTGAACACCCAGTCATCTTGTCGCCGTCTCTCGGGTGTTGACGGGATTGCACTAGCGTCTTCGATAGGCTGCATGATGGTATTTGGAGTGTGTTTGTTAGGATCGATTGATGCAACATTGGGTTGAACAAAGAAGGCGAAGGGTCCCCAACTTGTTTTCTACCGGCCTCCCACCTCGTTCGGGTTCCCAATTCCCACCGTTCCGGGGTGTTTGACAAGGAAGATTGCGGCACTGAAGAGTCCCTTGGCCAAGAACGGATGCGCCTGCGCTGGGTCAGTCACTATCCAGGGGAGGAACGGAATGTTCCTAACTTGAAACAACTCAAGTTGGAAATGGATTTGGCTAGATCAGCTATGTCGACGGCGGCTCGGGAAGCCTTCTGCTCATACGTCAGAGCTTTGAGCTGCTGTTATTTCGTCTTCCACTGCACCATGTCGTTCGTGTTTCCGAGGTAAATGACAATGCTCGGAGGCCATATCCGACAGATCACCTGTACCGGGTCGTGATCCACAAAGCCATTCGAGGTAGGCACCATCTCTAGACACCGCTACCTGGCATTGAGGCTAAAACTGGTTGATGACTCCCGCGCGAACTGGAACATGCTATCAGCAAGAGTTCTGTTCCCTCGTCCGCAACACCATTCAGGGCTTTACTACCTCCTCCCCTTCCCGCAACCCTTGCAAGCTCGGTAAGTATCGCGCTGGTTCGCTCCTGTTTCTCCTGTTCCTGTTGCTGCTCCTGCTGCTGCCCTGTTGGTGATGGTGTCCCTGCAGCTGCTGTTGCTACAGCTGCGGCGGCGGCGGCATCGGCGGCGTCGACGTCAGCCTTTTGCTGCCGAAGCAGCGCCCGGACGGGGCAATCTTTGGCCTTGTGACCACGTACTTTGCACATCAAATTGTTAGCCATTTCGGGAGATGATATCGGGTAGGTGTGAAGCCTTACAAGTTGCACTCCTGTCGTGGATGGGCCCTTCTAGACTTCGCCATCTCCTTGCCCATCAGGCTGACGCGCAAACGGAGCGACGTAACTCATCTTCATGTCATCCCAGTAGATAGGACAAGTCACGAAAACGTCCATGTCATTCCATAGTGAACAACTTGGGCGCTTTCTACAGTTCTGCGTCAGATGCGCGGGCGACTGGCCTCCCCTAGTTAGGTCTACGACGGCTCTCCCATGAAACTCCACAGTATTCGGGCTTCTCTGCCATTTAGTAGACCGCTGAGTATCCGTATACAGCGCCATGTCCTGTGAAAGTCTTTGACTTAATATATTCGTGTATTCCTCTCGAGCCCACTCCTGTTGCAAATAGGAAGAGGCTACACTGAGCCTTAACCAGTCAGGTTGTCCAACACCCAGTCACATTGGCCTGCGGGGCTGCTTGATTCGAAAGAGACACTATTGGTGGCAATCGCATAATGGTGATAATTTTTGATCGTAACAAAACTAACAATCAGGACATCTCCGTCGACCGGGCGGAAGCAGGAAATCTAGAACGCATAGACTTGTGTGGCCGCAAAGAAGCCACCGTGGAGCGCTGTACCCGAGGGTTCAATCTCTCGCCCTTTGTCCTCCAGACCCAGGCTTCGCCAGCACCCTCGAAGACTCCAGGCTATGCCATCCTAAAAGTAAGATGGATGGATGTACGTCAGTAGTTAGTATAGATCGGACTTGAGAGCTTGCCATCAAATCTAGCGCCATGCTGCGGGTGGTAATATCCGGAAACGATAGACTTACTAGCATTGCTCGTATGTATGGCTTGGGGTCGTGCTTGTGGAAAAGGAAAGGACATGTCACGTATTTGAGTGCGAAAGGCCCAAAGAACAGCCACGTTGATTTCATGGTATATAAACCCCGCAGGGCCCGCACGACACCACTCACCCCAAAAGTCCCCCCTACACCTAACCCATGGTGGTGTCGCCGTCGCCCTTGGGGCCGGCGCGGTAGGCGGCGGCGGCGTCGTCGTCGGCGGTGGCGTCGCTCTGGCCCACCTCCTGTCCCCCCTCCAACTCTGCAAGCTCGGCGCGGAGCGCACTGATGCGCTCCCGCCTCTGCTGCTGCTGCGCTGCTACTGCTGCTTCTGCTGCTTCGGCGGCGGCGGCGGCCTCGGCGGCCTCGGCTTGCTGCCGAAGCAGCGCCCGGACGGGACACTCGGAGGCCTTGTGGCCTCGGACATGACACTATTTCAAGAAACCGTTAGCATCGATTGTGTAACAATATTGAGAGATCAGGACTTACCACATTGCATTTTCCACTAAAGACCTTGGCCTTGGTGATGCCACCACGGCCACCTCCTCGGCCGCCGCCTCGACTACCTCCTCGGCCACCTCCTCGGCCACCTTTCCCTCCCCCGCTCCCAAATGTAACGGTGCCACCGCCACGGCCCCTAGCCTCCCCATTGAGGTAAATAGTATACATCTATACCATAACTATTTAGTAAGGATATGGAAGATGAGTTGAATATGGCTTACTTTGTCGAAGAGATGGATGTAGTTATCTTGGGCGTGCGCGTCGACGAGATGGATGTAGTTATCTTGGGCGTGCGCATCAAAGAGATGAATGTAGTTCTCTTGGGCGTGCGTGTCGAAGAGAAATTCTGGGAAATGGAAAATTTTATCGAGGGCAGTAGAAACAACCCACAAGCCTTCATTGTATGCCCTAGTTGCCTGATCACCGGGGCAGTGGTTCCTGATGTGATGCACCCTCAAGTGAGTGGCCTGGTCTTTGGACCACTTACAGTCAGCGTAGGGTCCCTGCCCAAGTCCAACCGGGGTACCTACTTCTACTGGCATTTGATGGCCACCTTCCAACAATCCTCCCCCCGTGGCGTAGTGGTTAACGAGCTCTCTTCGACTCGCACGCCCAAGATAACTACATTCATCTCTTTGACTCGCGATTCGTAACGCGAGAGAGATCCCGAGTTCAAACCTCGGCGGGGGGGGCTTTTTTTTCTTTTGCCCCATTCACATTATAGATTAGCATGTCCCTGAATTCCTTTGCCAGCTCTACGAATTATATTACCTTAGACTACGAGAGAGCTAAATAGAGCATTGTGGTGGATTCCCCGAGGTTCCTTCCTGTAGCAATTTCCTGTGCACTTCGGGGATAATCGCAAGTCTCTCCCAATCGACTTTATCATCGCGCGTCAAGTGTGGTAGAAAGCCAACATCTCAATCCACTGATAGACACTTGGCTGCTCAATCATGCCCAGGTGTTACTTTTGTACACAGTTCGTTGACATTAATTCTGCGACGGACAGCTTGGCTTGACTCTGCACCTTAAGTATGGCATTCGGGCTGACGTTGAAGGTGGAGTCATAAGGGTCTTGGCACAGGTCCCATCCGCCGCACGCTAATGCAGGGATCCCCTGACTAGCATCTGTCATGGTCATGCGCCGTGAGATCGATCTAGTCCCTGTCTCGGTCTCGGTCTCGGGGCCTCACCGGACATCCGAGCGAAGGGCCCTGGGCTTCCTTTTCCTACAAAACGTTTCTGTTTTTCCTAATGAGATGACCTGGAGTGACCTATATTAATCATATAGCTTCGTACTTCAAGGAGTGATTTACTCCGAAGATACGGAACCTTTGTCCCCCAATTTTGTTGTCGATTCGGCTACCTTCTGTTCTGCCTGTACTTCAGCGCATCATATGCGCGTGAAGTACCGCGATGGACTAACCCGGTATAAGCGCCTAGCATGGTTAGCAGGAATTATGCAGCGCAGCTCAAGTTACTCTTCAACCCCATTGGGGTGATTGATGCAAGGACTTTTCATGTACTAGATACTGGACAGTGCAAGTAGTACCAAAAGCCCTCGCTATTTCTTTTCGATTGTGTATTCCAGCGTGATTCCTGCATATGGAAATTGCAAGCAATCGCGCGTCTGTAGTATTAATGGTAATTAATCCACTTATTCTGTCTCAACCTATTGAGAGCTTCGGTTTGTTGGCTTTTCCTAAGGTGTGTTTCCTCCGCCTTAACGATTTCCCGGTCTGGAGAAAAAGGTAGCTTGTTCTAGGAAGGGTGGTAATTGTATGTAGAACATCATACCTCTCTACAAATAAGATATCTAGTAGATGAAGAGGGTCAAAGCGATGGCCTTAGGCTCTCGGTTGTAATGGGAGAAGGGAAGAGAGGTCGTTGCGAAAAACCAGGGCGGGGTGGTAAATGTCGATCGAGCTGCTGGTGAACCGCGCTCACAGCTCGGCGCTTGAGATTATGGTATTCGCCTCAATAGTTCTAACATTAGCCGTGCCGATGCCAGGGCTGAGCAGAGGGCGCTGGCTACGAGCGCGGTCAAGAACACGAACCCTCTACAGAGGCACCCAAGAAAGTTTACCCACCTAGTCATTCTGATTGAATTCTAAAAGACGCTCGCCTTAGATTGCGTCTCGACGGCGCCAGTCTACAGTAACGTGGCAGATACATATACCAGTGCCTTGTGGGCTGACCCTTTCAATACGTAACTAACAAGAGACTCGCCTCCGTTACTACGAAAGGACTGGGTCTAACTCATTGTAAATCTGCCGATTTTTCGTTGACGGAATTTGTCGACGAGTCGGTCATAACAACCCGTGGTTGAAGGCGATAGTGATGTCTAGGGAATTGATAACGTCCTTTGTACCCCATCACGCCTAGTACACTTTCTCCACTAAGTATTGCCAGGGATCGTCATAGGGCCTTTTTGCAAGCTTCGCAAAGCTGGGACCTGTGTTGGAATATAAGGTCAGCACGGCATGGTGTTGAGGAGCGGCAGTGGCATACCAGTAAGGGTCGGGAGTTGACAAGGAATCCCTGTATCTCGTCGAATACATGGGAAAACCAGCGCACCAAAAGTATATCGACCTCATCGGACTCTTCGGGGAGGGTTCAAACCGCGCTCGAGACAAGGCTGAGGTAAAAGGCGGGAACGGGCTTGCCAGAGGATAGGTCGGAATTTTGGCTGGGGCCTGGTTTGGACAGGGCGGGAAGGACGCTGCCCGAGATTGAGCGAACATCGTACAGAGACTTCATCTCTGCATCAGCGCCACGACCGTAGATGGTTTGGGTAATGACCGTTCTTGAAACAAAGCCCTGAATTTGATGAGGAGTTGGATTGAACAGGCTTTGCAACTGGCGTCATCGCTCGGCTCGAGGGACATAGTGATGAGGGCTCGCGGGCGAGAAAAGGCCTACGAGGACAGTCAAGTGCTGAGGACTAGCGACCTCGGCCAGTTTGATTGAGACAACGGGGGAATGGTACATGTACCTTAGTTCACGAGTATTGGTTAGAAGCAGCGATGGCCTTCGAACGCGACGCACGATGCGACGGTAAGACGGATGGGCGCTGAGCTGGACAGGTTTAGGCGCTGAGTTGGACGGACCTGGGGCCGCGGGCTGGATAAGTCTATGGCGACTGAAGATCTTAAGGGGAGGTAAGGACGTTGGGAGGGCGCATCATTGCAGAGCACATGCTTACTTTGGCTGCCCTGGTGATGCGGCTGGTGAATAGTTAGAGACGGACGCTTTCATGATGCAGCAGTATATACTATCGCCACCCACTCTTCTCCTTCGCCCAAGGATGAGTCAGAACACCCAGTTGCTAGCATAGCTTGTTACTGGTTTTCTGGCTTCAAAGAGTGAGTAGCCTCCTCCCGTCTGTTTTGCTCTTCCCCTCTTCATTCGCGACCCCCCGCGTCCTTTAGCCTTGCCCTTACCTGTACATTATTATTGCGCACTCTAACCCTACTAGTCTCTTAGCACTAATATCCTCTTTGAGTAGGACACCCAAAAAAGCTACAGTCATTCACCACAATCCTCATGCTCGAGAAGAGAAAACATTCTTTTCGAACCGCACGTCTAAGACAACAAGCATTCCCCTTGAACCGCACGCCTAAGACGGCAACAAGCATTCTCTGCGTACCGCACGTCCCGGATAAGAAGAAGTGCTCTCTTTGAACCCCATGTCCGGGGTAGCAACAAGCATTCTCCTCGAACCACAGGTCCAAGGTAACAGCATTCTCTACGAACCGCACGTCCAAGATGACAACAAGTATTCTCCTATAGCTAGGTATGTTATAGATGTATACTATCTACATTGGTGGTCAGGCTGCTGGCTCTGGTGGCGCGGCCACAGCGGGCCGAGGAGGCCGAGGAGGTGGATGCGGGCGCGTCACTAAGCCCAAGGTGTTCGGGGGCAAATGCAATGAGGTAAGCCTTCTTCTCTTTACCTATACCAGAGTCTAACAGTTTCCTGAACAGTGTGGGGTGCGTGGCCACAAGGCCAGCGAATGCCCTGTCCGGGCGCTGCCGACGCCGTCGCAGAGGACGAAGGCCCGCCCGCGGTGCCACCACGGTTGGCGCGCCGCCCACCACCACCACCAACAGCAGCAGAAGAAACAGCAGCGGCGGTGGCGAAGGAGGAACGCATCAACGCGCTCCTCGCAAAGCTCACAGAGTTGCGGGGGAGCAAGAGGGGGAAGGGGGGGAAGGAGGGCAAGGATGCCGACGGAGACGACGATGCGTAACATCATGAATTAAACCTGCTGTTCTTTGGGTGTTTCGCACTCAATGCTATATGTAACCTAATTCTCATTCCTAATACCTGGCCTTTATTCTTTATGCCCTTGCTTCCCTTGCCCTTAGTCCTTATGTCCTTAGCCATCGTATCCTTAGTCCTCATACCCTCATTCCCCTCAATCTCAATCTTTCTACCCTTATTCTCTTTGCCCTTATTTCCCTTACCCTTAATCCTTATATCCTCAATCCTTATGCCCTTATTCCCCTTACTCTTAGTCCCTATACCCTTATTCCCCTTACCCTCAGTCTCCATGCCTAATTTAATCCCTAAGACCTGTCCTTATATATAAGCATCCTAAAGACGGTGGCTTGTCAATGAATCTGTCCCCCCCCTGTTGTTCTGTGAGTTGGTTCCCCATCACCACAAATGGTGAACTCTAACTCGAATAATACAGCAGTTTCCCTCTATATAGGGTCACTAAAGTGGATGGCAGCTCCACGGTGCGCAATTGCTGGTTGAGTTAGGTTATACATTCCCTTCTTGTCAATGTACGTCTGATATACCAGCGTTTGATCTCTTGAACCTTGGTGGCAGAGCGCATACAGTTCCCACAGGGGACGAATGGGTCGCTGAGCCCCGGGGAAGCATCCTTCTTGTGTATCTAATACACATTGGCGACTGAAACAAGGGAGACGAATGTTGCGGAACGGCGAGGAGCAGCGGGGCGGGGGAGAGATGTTTGGGTGGAGAGTTCCGTTGGAGACCAGCGCAAAGTGGGAGGCAGCGGCAGGAGGCTATTGCTCTTATTAAGACACCTGATTTTGTTAGCATTAGAGAGCCCGTAAGAATTAATCGCATATATATCTCCCATCCCTGCTTCTTGATACCTGATAATAATCCCTTACAACCTAAATCCTATCCCTTCGTAAGATCCAGTGCACCAACTCTTCTTCGCATGTAACGCCTCAAGGAATGTCTATTCACCGCGCAAGGATACTTTTCGGACACAATGTTGTACTTTCACTCTCGTAGCTAATTCGACAAATCCTCCCACTTCTCTCACGCCATGCATCCATCAATCATTAACCGTTTGGTAAATTACAAGAACCCGCCACTTCTTTCACACACAAGTCGTCAATCAAGCGGCAGCCGCGTTGTTCCCAGCTCCATTAGTAGGCACCGTCTTCTCCTCATGCTCATGTTGGCTAAGCTTGGTCTCGACGTCGCCCCGCTCAAAGCGGCGCGCATCGCCGGTCGCAACCTTTGTCTTCCACGCCGGAGTGCCAATGTAGCGCATGCCATCGGGGTCTTCGAAAAAGGCTTCGATGGCCTCCAGGGAGTGACCAGCCGTTTCCTTGAAGAGCAGGAACACGTGGATGAACATGGCAACGTTGAACACGCCGAAAATGATGTAGACTTGCCAGCGGATGTTGACGAAGGCAACC